TTGGAGAATGCCAAGATTGGAGGTTAGATGGTTCATCAATTTATATCGAAGAAAACCCGAACTAAATCCCGTGTTGTTAGATTTAGCCACATTAGACTTCAATATTGTCCAATCCACACATCAAGATGATCTGAAATATGCCTCTAGGTAATAAGTTTAATTATCAACTTGAAAGGGTTATTTTTAAAAGAAAATATAATCTATCAAGTCTTTCCACAGAGAACTTTTTAAGTTATATTTATACTATTTTTCACCTAATTTTTTTTTAACAATGACCCTAATATAGTGTATTACTTTATTTGGTATATATGAAGGTGGTGGAAGAATACTGAGCTCGGACAAAAACTCGATTTTGCAAGGGATCGATTGGTGACAAATTTCTTTTGGTCGGTGGGAATGGGATGCAAACCTCATCTCGGCTATCTTAGAAGAATGTCCACAAAAATTGCTTCATTAGTAACAATAATTGACGATGTTTATGACGTGCATGGAACTTTGAATGAACTTGAACTCTTCACCGATGTTGTCGAGAGGTAACTTCTACCCATTAAATCGAACCAAATTATAAAAGAAAAAAAAACATGAAAAAAGTTTTACAAAGACAAACCATTTGTGTTCAAAGTTGTCATAATTAATAAAAGAAGGTATTATTTAACAAATGATTATATGTTGATACTTTCAGATGGGATGTTGCCGCAATTGATTCATTGCCTAACTACATGAAGATATGTTTTTTTGCTCTCCATAACACAATCAACGATATGACCTTCGATGCTGTTAAAAATCATGGGGTCAATGTCATTCAATATTTAAGAAAAATGGTAAATATTTTTTCATTCGGTTTAATTTTATGCTAATCGAAATTTTTTCTCGCTAAGATAATTTTATGAAACCCTAACTCCTTCGACATTTAAAATGTTGTAGTGGATAGATTTATGCAAAACGTTCTTGATAGAGGCAAGATGGAACTACACCAATTATAAGCCAACATTTGAAGAGTATTTAGATAATGCATGGATTTCAGTTTCGGGATCTCTTCTTCTCGTTCATGCTTACGTCTTTGCTACAGACTTAATAATGAAAGGGGATTTGGAATACTTGGAACACTATCTTGATATTCTTCGACATTCATCTATGATCTTTCGTCTTACCAATGACTTAGCATCATCATCGGTATTTCTTTTAAAATAAAATTCTTCATGCAATTAATTTCCTAATTTTTGAACATCTAGACCGATAACACTAATATTGAAAATTTTCTAATTCACAGGAAGAAGCAGAGAGAGGCGAAGTTGCTAAGTCTCTCCAATGTTACATGAATGACACAGGTGCCTCTGAACATGAAGCACGAAGATATATAAAGGATTTAATTATCGAGTCGTGGAAGAAATTGAATGAAATTCAAATGTTGAATTATTCTCCATTCATCTCTAGAGATTTCATTGAAATTGCTTTAAATGTCGCTAGAATTTCTCACACAGTTTACCAACATAGAGATGGACACACTGTGGAAGATCAAGAGACCAAGGATCGTGTCTCATCTTTATTCATCAATTCTACATAGAATCATTCATATCAACAATAAATATTATATATTGTTTAATGATGGTTTGTTTAGTAAATTTATGAGAGAAAAAATAGCATATAATAAATTTAAAACTGTAACGTCCAACTTCTAATACATGATTAGATTATGACTGTTCTTACATGCACATTACGAAAATCTTTTGAAGTGTAAAACCCGCCATTATTTTATATTAAACATGCTTGCAAAACAACAAATGAATGAGAAAAATTTATGCCCAAACAAAATTCTATTTGAAGTATCCTATGACTTTTGTAGCAAACATCTAGTAAGTGACTCTATTCCTCCCATTAAGAGATGCAATTTAACACACTCATCACTTTAACTAAGTTGATTATAGTGAAATGTAAAACCTTATAGGCATGTACACAAAACCCACAAAACCCTCCAAGCATGCATCACTTTCATGCACCTAGGCAAGTACATTAGAAAGTCTAAACAAGCTTCAAATTGTCTAAAATTCATTCATGTTATTTATGTGGGCCAATTCAAACAAAATCCGTATGTTGAAATATTTATTTTTTTTACTATTTATTTATGTGGGCCAATTCAAACAAAATCTGTATGTAGAAATATTTATTTTTTTTACTATTTATTTATGTGGGCCGATTCAAACAAAATCTGTATGTAGAAATATTTATTTTTTTTACTATTTATTGATGACTATAGTTGCATGAGTTGAGTTTACTCCCTACGACACAAGTCAGAAACCTTGGAGAAGTTCTAAAATTTTAAAGCTATGGCGGAGAATTAAACTGGCTTCCACATTAAAGTTGTTCGCACAAATAGATGTGTGCAGTTCATGTCTAAAGAAGTCGATTTGTTGTGCAGGAAAAGACAACCAAAGAGAATCAACATCTCCTTACACTCCATAACAAAATGGTGAATCGCTGGATGAAATGGAACTGTTGTGGAGATGGTAAGAACTTTACAAGCAAGGGGACTTAGAAACCAATTTCGGGTAGAAGCTTTAGCGATATGTATCTATCTATTAAATCGAACTTCTTATGAAGCACGAAGGAAACCATCTATAAGTCATTTACAAGTCTTTGGTTGTGTAGTTTTTTCTTTGATAAATCTTCAAGTTCATCCAAAGTTTGATGAAAAATCTGAAAAATGCATTTTCTTTGATTATTATACTCAATCAAAAGCATATAAATTGTATTGCCCTCCTAATGAAAAGATTTAGTTTAAAGGATGTAATATTTGATGAAAATGTAAGTTACAATTAGAGTAAAGAATCAGTGCAGCAAGATACAATAGTCAACCCCTATGCATCTTCTAGTACCTCTAATACAACACAAAATTTGACAAATTTATCAACTTCATCACCGCAAGAAAACAACTTTTCTCTTGAAGAATTTTAAGACAAGACACTGCTAAGGACGTATAAATCTTTCACTAACGTATATGCATCTTTTAAATTTGCTATTAATGTTTCAAATCCTATAAATTATGAAGAATCAACTAATAAATTATGAAGAATCAACTAAAAAATAAGAGTGATAGAAAACCATGATAAAAGAGAGGTAAACAATTGAGAAAGATGAAACATGAGAGATGATTGATTTACCAAATGAAAAAAATTTCAATTAACTTGAAAATGTGTTCTTGAACAAAATGAAAGCATAAAAAAGCATAAGGCCTATCTTGTGGTTAAAGGGTATGCGCAACAACAAGGTGTAGGTTTTGAAGAAACTTTTTTTTTCTAGTAGCTCACTTAGAAATTGTAAGAACTGTTCGAGCATCAGCGATAGAATTGCGGTGACATCTTTATCTGTTTGATGTCAAGTCTGCATTTCTTATTGGAGATTTACAAGAAGAGATCTATGTAGCACAAAAATATACAAGTTGAGAAAGACATTATAAGGATTAAAGCACGCCCCTCGAGCTTGGTGTAGCAAGATTGATGGGTATTTTGAAGGAAAATGTTACAAGAAAAATGAGAATGAGTCTAGTTTGCATGTGAAGAGGAAAGGTAAAAGTGATTTCATCATTATTTGTCTCTTTGTTGACAATATCATTTATTCTAGTTCTTCAAATATGGGTTTAATCCATTTCTTGGTATTGAAGTATATCAAGTTCAAGATGAAATTTTTATTTTCCAAAAGAAAGTTGTCAATGATATTATGAGTAAATTTAGTATGCTTAATTGTAATCCTACAACCACACCCACGAATATTAATGAGAAAATTATAACATGAAGATGGAGTACAAAAGACAGATATTAGATGGTTTAGAAGCTTGGTTGGCGGGTTGATTTACTTAATGCACAATAGGACGTTGCATTTCCTATTGGTGTTATTTCCAAACTTAAATAACTACCTCAAAAGTTTGTTGTGGAGCAGCAAAATGAGCCTTTATGTATGCAGCCAAAACCATGGAGTATGGAACATGTTATTCTAAATCTTCTGATTTCAAATTATATGGGTTCACGGATAGTGATTGAGCAAGATCAGTGGATAGTAAACGGAGTATTTCAACCAATATTTTCACTCTAGGATCAGGAGTTATCACTTGGAGATCCAAAAAATAAGTAACAGTGGCGTTGTCCACTTCATAAGCAAAATATATTGCAGCAGATCCAAAAGCTTGTCAAGTCATTTGGTTAAGAAGAGTGTTAGTTGATCTACAACAAAAGCAAAAAAGAGCAATAGAGATATTTTGTGATAACAAAGCAACTATCTCGATGACAAAGAACCCAAGCATTCATAGTAGAACAAAACATATTAAATTTCGACATCATTTATTCGTAATCTTGTTGTAAAGGAAGAAATATTTTTGAAGTACGTAACACCAATCCTAGCAGATATACTTGACATCTGCACTCTATTTTCTTTCTTTGTTTATTTTTGTTAAAGATCACGTATTTGTTTAGATTGTTGTATCAGATTAAATCGTTGGAGTTAGATTTTGTTTTAATTTGATATAATTTTGATTTGATTTAGTTTTTGATTTGTTTACTGGTTTGTTACCCGATTTTATGCCGATTGTTTAGGTAGATTTTCTAAATATCTTTTTGTATTCTCTTTATATATATATATAGAGCATTCTTGCTCTTCATAATTCAATCTTCTCCTCAACTATTCAATCATTCCCTCTTTGACTAACAATTGGTATCAGAGCTATCTTCTTAAGGGATCTGTGAGATCAATATGGGAGGAGAATCCAGTTTTTCCGCTGTTGCACCACCAGTTTTCGAGGGAGACAATTATCAAATGTGGGCAGTTCGTATGGAGACTTATTTGGAGGTCTTGGATCTTTAGGAAGCAATAGAAGAGGATTACGAAGTCTTCCGCTTCCAGCAAATCCTACTATAGCACAAATCAAATTACAGAAGGAAAAGAAGATAAGGGAATCAAAGGTGAAAGCTTGCCTATTTACCGCTATATCTCAAATGATCTTCATGCGAATAATGTCCCTCAAAACAGCAAAGGAAATTTGGAATTATCTCAAGGCTGAATATGAAGAAGATGAGAGGATTCGTGGAATGAAAGTCCTAAATTTGATTAGGGATTTCGAGTTGCAGAAGATGAAGGAGTTGGAGTCGGTGAAAGAGTACTCTGACAGACTTCTCAGCATTGCTAACAAGGTGAGATTACTTGGTTCTGTTTTAAATGATTCCAGGATCGTTGAAAAGCTGCAAGTCACTGTTCCAGAGAAGTTTGAAGCCACCATTACTACTCTGGAGAACACCAAAGACTTGTCAAAGATTTCTCTTACAGAGCTCTTGAATGCTTTACAAGCACAAGAGCAAAGGAGGTCTATGAGGCAACAAGGGGTAATTGAAGGTGCCTTACTTGTTAAGCATCAAAACAGCAGCAGGTATAAAAACAAAAAAAAATTCAAAATCAATTGACGTATGAAGATTCATTTGCCAATTATCAGAAGACAAAAGAAGGAGGTTTCAAAAAATCCTATCCACCTTGCCGCCATTGTGAGAAGAAAAGTCATCCACCATACAAGTGTTGGAGAAGACCTGACGCCTTCTGCTCCAAATGCAATCAACTTGGACATGAAGCTGTGATCTGCAAAGCTAAAGATCAGGTGAAAGAAGTAGATGCATAGGTAGTTGATCAAGAAGAAGAAAAAGAAGATCAATTGTTTATGGTCACTTCTTCCTCAAGCAAAGAATCAAGTGAGAGCTGGTTGATTGACAATGGGTACACAAATCACATAACATATGACAAGGAGTCTTTTGAGGAATTAAGAGACACTGAAGATAAGAGAGTGAGGATTGGCAATGGTGAACACTTGGAAGTCAAGGGAAAAGGCACAGTAGCTATAACAAGTTATGAAGGTACAAAATTTATTCCAGATGTTTTATTTGTACCTAAAATTGATCAAAATCTCTTAAGTGTTGGCCAGTTACTCGATAAAGGCTATAAAGTATTGTTTGAGAATAAGCAGTGCTTGATCAAAGATGCTAGTGGCAAAGACTTGTTCAATGTCAAAATGGAAGGAAAAAGCTTTGCTCTAAATCCGACGGCCTTTATATTGAGAGTTAGTGCCACTGAGATTTGGCACAAAAAACTTACACTCTCATCATCGAGGTTTGCTTAAGATGCAATCAAAGAAGCTGGTAGAAGAACTCACTGACATTGATGAGGACATGCCTCCTTGCCGTACTTGTAATTTTGGGAAGCAACATAGGCAACCCTTTCCTAAACAGACATGGAGAGGCTCGAAAAAGCTGCAATTGGTTAATACTGATCTTTGTGGTCCTCAGCGAACACCATCAACTGGTTCATACTGATCTTTGATGATTTAATAAGAATGTGTTGGATCTTCTTGCTGAAGTAAAAGTGAAAAGTTGCGGGTGTATTTCGGAAATTCAAAGCCAGAGTTGAGAATGAAAGTGCAGGCTTGATTCAGACTATAAGACCAGATTATGGCAAAGAGTACACTTCATAAACTTTTAACAGGTTTTGTGAAGAGGCTGGAATTGAACATCAATTGACAGCTCCATACACTCCTCAACAGAATGATGTCAGTGAAAGGAGGAATAGATTCATAATGAAGATGACGAGATGCATGCTTCATGAGAAGAATCTTCCAAAACGTTTTTGGGGAAAAGCAGCAAACAATGTTGTGTGCTTGCAAAATTGAATTTCAACAAAAATTGTGAAGGACCTGACACCATTTGAAGTTTGGTATGGTTACAAACCTTCTTTAAAGTTCCTTAGAGTATTTGGGTGTCTTTGCTTCACTTACATTCCACAGGTCAAGCGTGATAAGCTTGACAAAAAGGCAGAAGCTTGTTAAATAAAAGCCATGCCTTATTTAGTTACATCTTAATTCACGCGAATGGAGAAGCGTGATTCTAGGAGCCATTGTTTTGGCAATTTGGGCGAAGTCTTCGTCCACTTCTTCTATTTTTGTATATTTGTTTTTTCTATTTTTGTAATTAGATTTGTTATTTAAACCGTTCAACCGAAGTAAAATAAAAACATCGAGTCTTCAGCATTATTAGCGAATCTCTCACTCTCTCTCCTTTTACTTCCGCTAATTTTTCCTTCGAAGAAACCTTCGGCCAATTTTTCGTCGACACTGTCTTCCGAATTGCCAGAGTCAACAAGTGGTATCAGAGCCTCGTTGAAGCGATCGGTAGTATACCATCACAGAAGAGCCAACCTATCAACAATCAAGTTGAATAGCTCAAGTGGTTAGAGTGTCGACCTAACAACACACAAGTCTAAGGTTCGAGTAGAAGAAAATGCAAAGGGCGAAAATAAGCACATCGTGGGGTCCATCCCGAGCAAGCTCGCTCACTCCTCCACGCAGCCGTCAAGTGCCGGCATCTCCATCACCACCACGAAGAGGCCGACGCCGTGATGACGGGCGTCGAGTTGTCGTTGAGCGAGTGATTAGCGAGTGATTAGAGCAAGTCGCGATTTCAATCGAGACATTGCTTGACGTGAACGACCTAACAGTGGAAGAGGTGACCGGAAGACTACGTAACGTCGAGCAGCGGAAGAAGAATATCACTTCAGCTGTTGACACTAAAGCTCCGCGACAACACCAACAATGGATCCTTGACACAGGGGCAACAAACCATATGTCGTCAAGATCGAAGGGCGCGGCACTATCCTGTTCGTCAGTAAGGGAGGCGAGCATTGCAAGCTGACTGACTTCTACTTCATCCCGCAGGCAAGGCGCACCACAAACCGTCTTTACATCCTGGAGTTAGAGATAGACCAACCCGTTAGCCTCTCGGCCAAGACCGAAGAGGTATCTTGGAGGTGGCACGCAAGGTACGGACACTTAAACTTTCCTGCCCTAGAAGAGACGTCACCGCCGCCAGCAGGTGCACCACCTGAACCAGTGGAATTCGCAACACCACGGACTGCGGATTCGACGCTGGATGCCGATCACGATACTGATCTGGAGGCTAGGTACCGGATGATGGATGACCTAGTGGGAGGAGGTGAACCACCTGGACTAGCAGCGCGCGAGCTCGAGGAAGTCACCTTCGCCGAAGCAGAAAAGAACCCGTGCTGGCGGAAGGCAATGCAGGAGGAGATGACATCCATCACTGAGAACCAGACGTGGAGTCTGGAGGATATGCCACCAGGACACCGAGCCATAGGGCTCAAATGGGTCTTCAAACTGAAGCGCAATGAAAAAGGAGAAGTTGTGAAGCACAAGGCTCGTCTGGTGGCGAAGGGCTACGTCCAGAAGCAAGGAGTGGACTTCGAAGAGGTATTTGCGCCAGCAGCAAGGTTAGAA